TAAATTCGGTTGGCGAACAAATAAATCGAATAACAAGTCTACGAATCTTGTAAATGAGTAAACACATCGAGTAGACGAGTTAAAAAATCTAGTGAGTAAATAAATTTAGTAAACCGGAAAATAAATCGGTTAAAAGAGAAATTAAATCCGTTTAATAAATCGAGTAAACGAGTGAACGAACCGAGTAAATGAGTAAACGAATCTAATTAATAAATGGAGTTGAATAAATCGGGTAAATGAGTATACAAACCAAGTAAATATATTGAGTAAAAGGTTGAAAAAGTCTAAAAGCTAGTATCGAGTTAACCGGTAAATATATCGAGTAAACAAGTGAACGGATTTAGTAAATAAATGATTAAATCGAGTAACTGTTAAATAAATTGGGTAAACGAGTGAACAAATCGAGTAAAAAAAGTGAGCAAATAAATTGAATTAACGATTAAAAAAATTCTCAAAAGTGAGTACATATATCGAGCAAACAATCAAGAACGAATTAATAGTGAATGGGTAAACAACTCGAGTAACCGCTCGAAAAAAAAAATTATAAAAATGGATAGACAAATCAATTAAATAAATCGAGTAAGCAAGTGAACAAATCGAATAAACGAGCAAACATCTAAAAATCGAGTATAAACGAGTACACACATCGGGTAAACGAGTCGAGTTAACATGTGAATGAATCGAGACCATTTTGTTGTTTATTACTGTAATTTGTTATTTTGTAAACATAGTGACACAGTTACACATTTAGCGTGATGCATAAAATGTCTGGCAACAAATCTCACCGTTTTTTTTTTTTTTTTGGTTGAGTCTAAACAACTTTAAATAATTGCATCTGGCGTTGGACAAATTTGGTTTTCGCTCTGCGTAATTGTGTCCAAATATTAGTAGACAGTGTACGGGAAAGCAATAATGGTATCTAATATTATTATTATTCATGTCGTCGTCATCTTTGTATGCTATAAGGACTTTTATACGGACCAAGGTTAACGCGCGTTATTATGTCCCGGCGGATCTGTCGCTGGCTCTGTGCTTGGCAGATAAATGAAATACTTTCCAAGTGCAAGCGACAAGACGTATTAAGACGATTGCGCAGCCGTTTCAATTAACCCGAGCTTAAGCGCGGGCTAAATTAAGCCGAAAGTAGAGTGTATGCTCGCGTCTGTCATCATGATTTATGCGCCGTTTTGTATATGGTATATTGGTATATATGTATACATATTTAAGAACCGTATTAATTAATTTATAAATACTTTAAAATCACCAGTAAACCAGCAGAGGACAATGAATAAATAAATCCCTACTAACTTCGTTCGAATGTCAAGGAAAAAAGAACTACTGTATGTGAAAGCCACGTTTTTTTTACATATAATATACTAACAATGATCAATACCGCATGGTAAATATTATACTGTCGATAACTACTGCATTGCTCGAATCCTAAAAAGTTTGCAAGTTTTAAATAGCAAGAAAAAAAACATATTAATACTTTCATTAGTGATTTTGTTTATTTTGAATCTAAATTTGACATCCACGCTTGGGTTCTTTACAATATGTTGTTCTTCACTTTATCTGTTCGTTCTGTTGTATCTGTTTGTTGAGCAGAACATGCCTGTATCTATTATGGGCTTATGATTGAAAAAATTGCGTTTATAAAACAAGCAAACTGAATATTAAGCCAATCTAATATTATTAAGAAATATATAAATTAGTCAGTGTTTATTTACTAAAAGTCATTAAATAAGAGTTCGGCCAGGTGTTTCCAGAACTATATATTTAGTTATTGTTCTTTATAATATATATATAGCATTCTTACTATAAAATAATTATATTTCGTTGTTAACAAAATAAGTCAGTTATAATGTATTGTGTAGAATTTGAATACTCTCGAAAAATTTGATAAAAATGTTTTAAACTAAAAAAATAACCTTACAATATAAAAAACAATTTTATATAAAACCTATTGGCTATTATAAAATATAAAAGGATCGTATAGAAACAAATCAATATCATATATATTTTTTGAATTATAAAAATAAACATTTCAAACCTTTGTTCGTCGTTTTGTTATGTGTGGAATGTTTTCAAGTGAATGATTCTAATAAGCGTCAATTATGGAATGGTCGGTTTTATAATCAAATTTAATAGATTTAATAATTGGCAGGTCTAATTGGCAGCTCTTTATGCAAAGGTAACCAGTAAAATGTTAACATGAATTTGTTTGATTTCCAACAAACGTTTGTGTGGTCCGATTCGACAAAAGCCCCAATATATTAGAAATTTTCCACTTGAACATATATTTTTCATTTATAAACTGTAATAACTGTTGATTATTAAAAAAATCTATTGAAAGCTATGGCAAAGTTGTAACAGAAGATGGCATCGATTTTTAAATGAAAATAATATCAAACCAAACACATACAAATAAATACAATTATTTATCGCACATTTTAGCTGTACTCCCAGTTACATCTTGTGAAACAGAAACATAATTTTCAACACTGAAGCGAATAAAAAACATATACTATATATCTTAGGAATACAAATTTAAAAAACCTGATTAAATGGGTTAGCTCTACTGTGCTAGACTTTCGGCTGTCCATAGTGATTATTTATTTTTGTTATTCGCAATAGTGATATGCTATTTTATTATACTGTGCAAATTCCCGCGGGCCTCGCTAAAGGTCGTATGACAAAGTTTATACTTTAAAGGACGATTGGCGCTTTTACAAAACGCGCGCAAACAAATTAACATGTACAAACGTGACACGGATAAAGTCAATGCGGTACATAACAATGTAATATTTATGTGCCTTTAGAGTTGTAAACTTTACTATAGCGGTGGTGATGCGACACGATATTTGCACGTTTAAAAAAAAGAATCCCTACAAAACATACATTGATAAGGCGTTATCGACGGGTAGTAAAATCGTATACACGGCCGCCCGGTCGTGACCTCGAGCCTATATTATATATGATTTATTATAGGTTATGCATTAATTTCAAAGTTTATATACAATATATAATATGGAAAGGCTTCAAACAGTATAAATTCATCCCCAAAATTGGCAAAATACATCGCGTCGTGTCCAACTGGGCTTTGTGGCGTTGTCTAATGAAATTATCTTAGATTCGCCAAAAAAGATATCACGGTTGTTGTGCAGGTAAGATTCCGTCGTGTGATCTATTTGTAAGTGATCGACCGCGGTTCGTTTTCTCCACCCACGTTTGCATCTCGTCTTATCGATTTGTTTTCATTCGTTGCACAAGATTAATATGTTGTTACAAAACACCCCTTAGACCACCACCACCATTCGACAGCAGTTCTGTAGTGGTTGATAATATTATTTTGATGACAATAAAACAATATGTAAGCTTATAATGAATGACTTTGAAACTATTACAACGGTTTACTGTCTATCAAACCTAGCTATTTGTTATGCCCGTAAAACATTGAGGTCATGCCAATATCTGGCGTTTTACCAAAGGACTGGACGAGCCAACTATACACGTGTTATTGTTTAATATGTATCTAACGTGAAATCAACTGATTTTTCAATAAATACACTCAATTTTGCATAGAATTATTATTGCAAGTTTTGTGAAAATACTCTTCACGATTTTTTGGTTTTTTTTTTTTTTTTGTAAAGAATTTAAATAGTAGATAATGTTTATAAGTCTAATTTGATTCTACGCAAAATCGTTATTTTAATTTCAAGGAGTTATTTTTTTGCAACACTGCTCTCTGGATTACTTCAGGTTTTTTCAAAACTTCCTCTACTACACACTATACACTACACAGATATGTAACAATACTTATTTCAATGATAAATTACATGGTTTTATAACTATGGATCTAAAACCAAATATCAGACACAATCTTACTCAGAAACAGTTGTCTACTTGTTTGTTATTATGTAAATCGGTGATTTTTTTTATTAGGAATCGAAATGTAAAATAATAAACTTTGTTGGGAGGAAGTAGTGTGCAAACAGTCCCCTCTCAGGTTAGCGGTAAAAAAAAAGACATATTTACTTATGATAAAATGTTTTCCAACAAATATCGTTTTTATATAGTATAAATAATGATTATATCGTTATTACATTTTTGACCGCATCCGGATAAGCTAACGTCGATGTGAAAAATGAAAAACTTGTTTATTTATATGCTTGTAAAAAGTTCATATTATAGTAAATAAAGTGAGTAAATAAATCGAGCAAGCGAGTAAACATTTCGAATAAATACATCAAATGAACGAGTGAAAAAGTGTCGCATCTAGTAATAAATTAAGTAAATGAGTAATTTTTTTTAAAAGCGAGCAAATAAATCAGACGACTTATCAAATCGAGCAAACGTGTACACAAATTTAGTACATAAAGAGAGTAAACGAGTAAATATATTATCGAGCTAACTAGTAAATAATTCGAGTAAATAAATTAAGTCAATGAGTAAATAAATTGGCTCCCGGTGTTAAAAAAAAAAAAATGAAAATATTTCGAGGTAACGCTAGAAATGTAGATGAAGTATGATAATATTTCTAGACTTTGTCGAATGAATCGAACAAATTACGTGTAATGGACTCGAGTAAGCGAGTAAACAAGTATAGCGTACGACGAAAAAATGTCACAAATTTTTCTGGGTGACTCCGGTCAAAATAAATTGTCCCGCGAAAAAAAAAAAATTGTAATCCACTATTGCAAACCATTTGTTTTATCTTAGAAAAAAATCAGCCGTCTAATTAAATTTAAGCGGACATTTTTTTTTTTTTACCATTTATAAATCACCGATCTAGGAGTTTTATTTTGTGCCGGAAAGACAGTCGTTATGGTGGCGGGCAGGGGGTGGGGGAACAAGGGAAATGAACTGAACCAAGGATACAGTTTGACGACGGCTTATTATACACAGCGGTAGAGGCAGCGACGCTCGGTGGCAGACAGATTTTGCGGCGTCGCTGCTCCATGCCACCGAATGGGGTTTACCGGCAGTAAACTTAGCATCGCGTAGCGGCTCGCACGTTTCCCACGACTTGGCCGCCTTTTACCGCACGTGTACGATAACGAGTCGTGCTTTTTTACCTCTGGCGTACAATAGAAAATTGAACATAGTCTACCGGCGTTTGCGATTGTATGCCGTGTGAAAAGCTAAAAAAAAAAATTGGTTGTTGTTCGTGAACATACGGATTATAGTTGTATTTTACCAGTACAGAAAACGGTCTACGGTTCAATATTACAAAAAGGTAAATTCCACAGCTATAACATAGCTTATTGTATTTACACCGGCGGCCTTGGTGCGGTTAACCGGGTGCAGAGTTCCATACGCGGGTTGTGGTGATCTGTTTTTTTTTTTTAATTCAGGTGGTTTATAGCTCTGATAGTTTAAGACGGTCATGTATAGTTAGCGACTAGAGGTGTTTTTCTCTCGGGGCTCTTTTCATAAACTTTTCGGTAGACATCATTGTATTAGAATTTATAATAATACACAGTCTCGCCGTTTAACGCAGAAACGGTGCCAAGGGAAAAAATTAATATTTCTTTAACAATAATAGTACCGGGAACCGTTCGAATAGTAATTGAAAATATATTATCAATCGATAGTTGGGAAATTACTTTGCTGCCTTTCCAGTTAACGTTCATTATTATAAGTTTTGTAGTTTTTAGGCGGTGCGCAATATTATTACTGCATATTGGACCTGAACAAATATTCAAGAGATAGCTGGTATAGCTGTCATAATATTTCGCTGTTACACTTGTATAGGTTATGCATCACAACATTTCTGAATGGTAGGCATTGTTTTAATTACCAACCAGATCAATTGTGCGGTTATTTAACGATTGATCGAGTTGTGTTGAAATTTTTAGTACATTTGTTTTGGACAGCAGTTGTGGTACTATTGATAAAGTGGAATGTATGACAGCTATAGAGTTGCGTACCGGATACATGTAATTCCGACAACAGACTTTCCGACAAAACAGAGAAACGGTGTAAAGACAGGATCTGAGAAAGTTTGGAGTGGACGTCGAAAAGGAGTTAGCAAAGTATAGAGATGAGTGGCCGTGCACCCTAACAGCAACAATAATAGTACAAATAACGGAAACTTGTGACAACATTTTAATCAGGAGTGAATATTTAACAGCATCCCGGTCCTTTGGGTTACTGAAGTTTAAACACCATTTTACTCGACTTCGAGGAACGACCTCGAGGTCGTTACATCCGATACGGTTTACTAAAATACAATAATATGGTTCTTTTTCCACCTCATAAATAATATAGCAATGACAATTTTATAAATGTTTGATGATTATAGTGCTGTGTGACGCTCGCAACGATGGCAATTGGAAATCACAAACTTACAAAAAAAAAAAAAACACGTATATTATATAAAACTATATTACTCATACTATACTTACTCCTTGGCCTTTAAGGTCATACGGCGCTCTTAACTTGAGTGATGTACATAATATGAACATAAAGTATAATATAATGTATTTGTATATAACGCATAAAGCAACGACCATAAAGGTAGGCAATAATAATATGATAATGCATCATGCGATTTAATATGACGTATACAGTTGACATACTTCCTTATGGACCGCCAAATAACTGCGAAGAAGGGTAATAATAACAATATCACAACGTAACTTTACCGCAGTCTGACTATTTTATAATATGGAAATCATTTGAGCGACGGTGGTTCATTATGAAAATATTTCATTAAACAGCGAGCAGATGGTTTATACTGTTTCACCGAAACAATGAAAATAACATAATCTACTACACATTGAAAACGCATACTATTATTGTTACACATACATATTACCTATTAAATTGTATATAATAAAATATGTGAAATCATGAGCATTATGTCCATTGGGAAAGAGTGGGTTTCCCTGTAAACCCTCGTCTATGTCTATGTCAGCGCCTCCCCCCCCCCATGGTACCACTAATTTGTTTATAAAAACCCAAAAAATTAAACTACCATGTGAATTATTAACATTTTTTTCATTTTAATTACGACCACCCCACAGTACAATTAGTGACAAGTATTGTGTGGTTTGTGTCTTCAGTTATAAACCGACGTCCATCTTGCCCTCTACTTATGCTACAATAGTTGTTAATTAAATTACTCTTTCAGCAACACAAGTGAGTGTGGTTTCTGGAATCTAAATTATGTAGAATCATAGTATTGAGAAAGGGTCGTTGAACGACGTTGATCCGGATGCGAAATAGTTAATAAAAGGCGGCTAACAAAAGTAAACGGTGCTAACAAAACATATAATAATTATTAAATATATCATAAAATGATTCGAACAAGACGCGATTTGTATTGTTGTTATTGTTTTTCACACTCTTCTTTTAAAGTATTTCCTTATCCGCCGGGTACCCAAACCGCGGTAATCATTTTAGAATGGTGTATTTTAATAAGTGCGTGGCAAAGAAGTTTTTGCTCGACTCGGACTCGGCGTGACCCGCGGTGTCGATGTATCTTGATAGTGTCACGTGGGGCAGCAAGATAGATGCCTTTCCCTGGCGGGGGGCACGGCTCCGGTATAGCCGCTGCCGGTATTAGGACTCGGTGTCAATGGCGAATGAATAATGTATGGTGGCGGCTATATACACGGGGTTCTCCGTCATCTGGAATTATGTACGAAATATAAAATAACGCGCTTTAATGGAGAGATAAAAAGAACGGGGGCGGAGGGCTGTCGGGTGGGGTTGGCAGCGACCAAAATAAAAAAAACGTACAACCCGTGTTACCTAAACCGGAAAACTTTATTAGATGGAAAAACGTACGTGTCAAAAACGACCGCGTTAGACCAACGCGAGGTGACCAAATTGCCAGTTTTGCGGTATTTTTTATGACTTTGGCGGTCCGAGAACAAAATCCATACTCGAGTGTCATATTTTTGTACCTAATTGTACAAAGAAACTTTTTTTTGTTGTTTGTGTAACATTTTTTTTTTTACCAATGTCCAATGTACCTCGCTAATTTGTAAAAAACTAAAATCGCTTTAGTAATAATAATAATATTCCGTTTGATGAGGACTGTTCGCTTTATTTTGTTCACACACACACACACACAGCTGATTATGGTCATGGACGAGACGGGCGAGTCGAGGAGAAATATATAAAAAAAAGCTATTTTTAAAAAAATAGTTTGGCATATAAAAATTATATAGACCCACAATGGAAGTCGTTAGCGGGAAGAGAGAGGGAGCGCGGTATTCTTTTATATGCACAAGATCGATGGTTATATTATAAATAAAACTAATAAAAAACACACACACAGTTGTCCCATTTACACGATACAAAATATGTAATCGAAAGAAAATGCCGTTCTTATAATAAAAAAACAATTTCTCATAAATCATTGTAATACCTAATATTATTTCAATGAAATAAAAATCTGTTTTCTTTTAATGGTAACAAAAATTATTTTTCCGAATGTTTTAGAAATTTATATTAAATTTAAAAAAACAAAATTCTTGTAAAACATGCTTTCAATAATACAGTTAGTCGAGGTTTTAAGTTCTCCTGATAGAAAATGTATAAAACATTTTTTTTTATGTTAACGGATGTTAAGGTTTAAAATAGTATTCTAAAAATAATACACGCATATGTCTACTCGTCACTTTGGGTAAATTCTATATAATTTACCAATATAAATTCATAAGAAGCAGCTGCATTTTCTTTGCCGCATTCAAATACTTCAAAAATAGACAACAGACTGATTACATAGACAAATAATTGAAAATAAATTATTGTGAGCTTACGCACATATACCACATATACTTACTATATTGGAATATATTTTACAACCTAAATTAATGGGATCCACACTGAAATAAAATAAAATGTTGTTTACCTCTTTAATATGGCCTAGAAAGTTTTTGCGTACCTAGTGTAGCTTATGTAAGTAAACTTAATGAAATGCGGGTTTTTAACACTACAGAATGACTATTTACATAATAATATTATCATACATTAGAATGTATAGACAAATGTATAATTTTGTATTATTTTATTGTAGAACTGTAACTAGATTAATAATTGAAAACTTGAGGGCAACAACTAGACATGTCCATTTTTTAAATTGTTCAGGACGATCAAAATAAATTTTTTTATCGCATTTACTACCGTTGGTGCGAAAAAAATGCGTTTTGTATCATCTTTTTAAGTAATAGTCCAACTTAACTAGTTTTTTTTTCCACCAAAATATAGAATAATTTATCCATCAAAACTCAGTTTTTGATAAAAATGGACATGGCTGCGGTTGCTGCTCGCCAAGTCTTTAATTGCTCTAAACGTATCAAAAGAATATTCAATATATTATTAAAACAATATTGTATATAGCTATATAATTACAAAATTATGTTTGTGTTATTACAAATTAAAGGATGCTTAGTTATTAATCTTACATTCGTTTTGTAAACATACTATTTTTTCACTTGCAATAATAACACAAGCCAACTTAATAATAATAATTATCTCGGTGGAACGGTGCCAAAACATATGTATATAATATTCACAACATACATAATATTGTCTTTGCGAGTGTCTTAAAATAAATAACAGTCTAAGAGAAATAAATCGGTCTCTATTTTTGTATACGACTGTTTGCGTTTTGTGCAAAAAACATAATGTACAAATTATTGAATAAATTGCCTTCATTCAAACCGCTGAATGTCAACTTGTAACGATTTTGGATTAATAATGATTGGCCACGGTTGACTGTTTTCAAATAGTTTCCATTCGAGCCGATAAACTATGTATGCAACATTTCCAATAACTTAATAATGTATACCCACAAGTAGTTGGCGCGAGTGTGTTGACTACTTGCAGTAAACGTGGAGGAGTTGCTGATGGTTAATTAGCTGCCACCGGAAGCCAGATAGGTATAATATTATCAAAGTTGGAACTTGTGACCGTTGTCGTTAATCAAAAAGCTATATAAACTTATTATGTCGATCGTTTGGTCGTGTAAACGAACAAGAATCGACAGGCACAACGGTAAACAATGCGGCGGCAAAAATACACCCAATAAGACGTTATTATATTATTTTGAAAAGACTGTGCGAAAATAATGAACCCGGGGACATGCTGCGGTGGCCGTCGTAAAATATACTATTATTATATTATAGGTGTATTATATTTTGTCAGGCGAAGGTGTAAGGCGAAGATGAAAACGACAAACAAGAAGATTGTATTTTGTCCGGTTTTAACAAAGTTAACGAG